TCGTTTCCAATATTTTGTGCACATCCATTAATTACTTACTAAACTATATATTTAAAACAATCAATCCATTTTAAAAACACATATGGTGTAATAATAAGACAAAGTTAATTGGAAACGTGTAATTGCCTTGCCACCAATAAGTTTTAAATAATATGGTCGCATATACATGCTTGTAAAGCTATTTGCCTATGAAAACAAATTACGATCAGCAGAACAAAAGGTCAAATAAATGCAAAAGTGGTAATTCTAAATATGAGATAGATAGAGTGGGTGGGGGTAGAAAGATATGGTATAATATTGGACAATAGGACAGACCAAAGAGTGCCCTGGGAGAACGATATACTAAATATGATATATTTTGTCCTTTATAAAGTTGAGGATTATCGATTTTATTTTTCTTATAAAGTATTCGTACTCAGTTGAGGTAATGTGATTATTGGGTTTTTTGATTGAGATTATGAGTCAATTGATGCTAGACCACCATAAAAAACCTGGAAGCAATGGACGGCCGTTTCATTCTATTGTGGGACTCCTCCATGGTCCCGCTCTTAGAATTCGAACCTACCACTGAAGAGTCCCACAATAGGACGAAACGGCCGTCCAGTGCTTCCAGGTTTCAACGGTGGTCTAACATCAATCGGTTCATGATCTCAAACAAGAACATAATAATCCTCACAGCCCTATACTGATAACTGTTAAATTCGCTTGGTATCATTTGCTTGTATCTTCCGATTGTTGTTTAGGACTGCAATTGATCAGTCTTTTATTGACATATGTGCATACTGTGTAGATTGCCTCGATATTACCTTAAGTCACAATTATTCTAAGCAAAGATGGATTTTGGCTGGCAGTGGAATCCAGGACGCGCTTTTCGTGCTATTTGGGACTCGTTAGTCGGATGTACCTACATCCCAGAGTTCATGTTCACTCTGAGACTCGAACCCAGTACCGTATATATGCCAATAAGAGACTGATCAATTGCAGTCCTAAACATCAATGGGAAGATTCATGTAAACAATACCAAGTGAATTTAAACTTCAACACATTGAACAAGTTAGTGGCCATCAGGACTCAGTATCTAAGTGGATAACGTGATGTCGTTTGAAGCGAACGGTACTGGTTTGGAATCCTGGAGTGAACATCAACTGTGAGATGCAGGTACATCTACCATCTGACGAGTCCTAAATAGGAAGTAACACGTGTCATGGATTTCACTGCTAGTCACAATCCAACTGTGCTTTTAAAGAATGTGAAATACTTTTTATTTAGTAGTATGATTATCATCAATAACAAATGAAGCTTTTGATTATAGTAGTAGACATTTGTCGAGTTTTGTAGGACGTATCACTTCCGTTTTTTCCATTCTACACAATATTTACTTAAGTGATTCATTTATATTTGCAAAACAGTCCAAGGCATATGGTTTGTTATCTGATCATAAATGTATATATATGTCAGTTAATATTACTAAAACAAAGGGTTTTTAACTTTGACTTGGAATATATGAATCATATTGAATGTGTGGACTATTTCGAAAACAAATGAAAACACAACTCAATAATTAATCAATCTTGACTGATTTTCTATTAGTAAAATATGTTTTAGATGACAAACAATTTAAAACAAATCAATGTGATATACGTTTCTCAAAGTAGCATGAAAAGACCCATGCCTTATATTATAAAATCTAGGCTCAGTTAGAAAGCTGAAATAGACTTTATGACTGAGCACTAATCCCACTTATGACTTTGGGGACCTATTTCACCCAGTGACATACGTCAATATAGAAGATATGTTTTCTATACGCATATAAAAAAACTCAGACACATCTTACTTTACCTGGATTATATACATAAATCCAAAACAACTTTGGGATTGACAAGTGATGATTTAGGTGAGGTTAAGGTTATCTTCAACATTACCAATATTTGACAAATTTGTGATATCATTTTGGAATTAGTTTAAAATATGGACAAGAAAGCCAGAGATCGCTTCTATTACTTGCTTACGCCTGTTACTCCTCGTGAAGAAGCAAAGGCCGCACACCAGCATTCTCCATCCAACCCTGTCCCGGGCAATCCTTTCTAGCTCTTTTCACGTCTGATTCTATTTGCCGACGTAATGTGTTCTTTGGCCCTCCTCTTCTCTCTTTCCCTTCAGGATTCCATGTTAGGGCTTGTCTCGTGATGCAGTTTGAGTAATGTATATCCTATCCATTTCCATTTTCTTTTATTAATTTCCTCTTCAACTGTAAGATGGTTTGTTGTCTCTCATAGAAGACTGTTGCTGATGGTATCCGACCAATGGATTTTGATTATCTTGTGTAGACAACTATTTATAGATACTTGTACCTTCTTGTTGATGGTTGTAGTAGTTCTCCAAGTTTCAGCTCCATACAGTAGGACTGTCTTGACATCGGTATTGAAGATTCTGACTTTGATGTTGATCGACAGACAGTTGTTTTGAGTTCTATATGTTCTTCATCTGTAGGAATGATGTCCTTGCTTTGCCAATCCTCACCTTTACGTCTGCATCTGAACCTCCTTGTTCATCGACAATGCTTCACAGGTACGTGAAAGATTCTACGTCTTCCGGAGTTTCGCCATCAAGAGTGATTGGACTGCTGTTCTCCGTGTTGTGTTTGAGAAACTTGGTTTTCCCCTTGTGTATGTTGAGGCCCACTGATGCAGAGACTGCTGCTAGGTCATCTGCGAAGTCCAAATTGTCTAATTGGTTCTGAGCTGTCCATTGTACGCCGTGTTTTCCCTCAGATGTCGAGGTTTTCACAATCCAGTCGACCACTAGAAGAAAAAGGAAGGGAGAGAGTAGACAGTCTTGTCTGTCTCCGGTCTTTACTTGGAACGCATCTATCAGCTGTCCTCCATGCAGGACCTTCTATTGTAGTCTGTGGTATGAGTTCCGGATAATGTTGACAATGTTCTCAGGAACTTTGTAGTGTTGAAAAATTTTCCATAATGTTCTCCTATCTAAACTATCAAAAGCCTTTTCATAATCAATGAAGTTGTTGCACTATCCAACTGACCATTAATATCTTTCTACCTATATATAATAATTTTTTTTTAAATCTCAACATATACATTAATTAATTTTCTTATTTACACACAATAAATGTCACAATTTCCATAACCATGAGTAAGATCACTTTTGATCATTTGGATAATACAGCATTATTAATATTATTATTATTATTATTATTATTATTATTATTATTATTAGCGTCAAACTTGTTTCTATGTACTAAACATTAGTACATTGTTTTGTGATCTTTATATTATGTCAATGTAAATTAATTTTTTTTAAAAAAAAAAAAGAAAAAAAAGAAAAAAAAGGAAAATTTCTTCATTTATCAATAAATCAATTAACACTTAATTGTTGTATCGTTAGATATTCAATTTTTTTTTTCTACTAATTGGAAATGTTACAAATTATCATTAGTCATTGACATTTATTTACAAACAAATAAACAAACAAAAAAGAGAGAGAGAAAAACTATTATGACAATCTATAGAAACAAATATAAATAGGTTGATCATTTATTCAAATAAATACGATTAGGGTTGGTTTGTTTTGTTATGTTTCTTTAAAAAATTCTTTTTGTAATAAATTAATGGAATGTTGATTTCTTGTAAAACAACTGTTTAATACTTGATTTATGTATTTAAATATATAAACATTGGTATAATGTGGTAACAAATAGATATGTACCATATAAACGATTCAATTTATGTAAAAGCTGGGAATAGTGCTCGGGTGCCTAAACTAAAGTAGGTGGTTTTCTTAACGAGGACACACTCCGTGTTATATCCTGATAAGAATAATGAATGATAACTTTTGGGGATCCATTTATGGATCAATACTATATGTATATTTTTATCGTATAATTGTTAAATAACTAAACTATTCATATTCATGTTCCTCTCATTATGAGTTTTATTTTGACCTAAGAATTATTATTATACGATCTACCGTTCTTGAATTATACCATGTCTATTAATCACTACCTCGCACATTCATAGCCACATTTGGCCAATTCTTGTATAAATGTTGTTTCATATTTTATTGGTACGATATGGTCTGTTTGATTGGTATATAAACTCTGTATGTTTGAAATAAACGATTCATATTTCAGAGGCTGAGATTGGTGTTCTGGACTTTAACTGGCTGGGCTAAGTGGAAAGCAGGACCAATAAGAACTCTAGACAGCTCGCATGGGTTTTATGCGTCATTGGTTCGATAGATAATTGACTGCTCTCTGATTAACGGTATCGTTACGTTATACAATAAAAAGCGCACACAGGTTCACAAGTTATAACACTCCGAGCCTTTGACCAGCAGGTTTAATCCACAAGGCAATGGAGTAACGTAAGGAGATGCAGTTCCATGGTAGTCGGTGACCAACAATAGGTTTATATGCAATTTGTTTCCTTAGAATCCTGGAGCCTATGTATACCATTGGTTTGCATCCTACATACCCACGAACCCGGTTAAAGCGCCAGACATTCACTTTTTGTCCTCTCAATTTCGTAAAAAATATCCCCGCCACGAGAAGATAGTACGTATTAGTCTGTCAATTTATATGCGAATTTTTTTTTATAAATTTTTAACAATTTCATTTTACAAGGTTAATTATTAATAGAAGGTACTATATGTTCTGTTACATAACAATTATCATAATCTATTTGATGTATATTAATAATATTTTAATAGTTGAGATCATGAATCAATTGTAGCTAGACCACCATGAACAATCTAGAAGCACTGGATGGCTATCTTTCGTCCTATTATGGAACTCCTCAACAGTGTACATCCATGATCCCACCTCATAACATTCAATGTATATTAGTTACAATGTTTGTGATTATCAGTGAAACTAAATGTTTATTTTTTTAAATTTAAAATTATGGTAAAAATTATGATCATTTTTCATTTTCATCTTTACGATGATTGTTCTCCTTCTTTTTTTTTCTTGTTTTAAATAGGATAATTCATTTCTTTTTCGAACAATTTATGATTTATCATTTTTTGTTATTATTATTGTGATTATATTAAATTTAATATTTGGTGTTATTGTGGATACATTTGCTGCACTTCGTCAAGAGAAACAAAATTCTGAAGAATTAAATAAAAATCATTGTTGTGTTTGTGGTAAGTTTAAAAAAATATATATAATATGAAAAATTCCCAATTTTATGAATTAATACACTATGTATATATACATAAGTCAACAATATTATATTCGATTAGATTCGAATCAAGCTTTACTCTATTATACAGTAATATTGTAATGAGCAAGAATATGAGTGAAGACAATCGAATGTTAGATAGTGGTTGAAGGTAGTCAACGGGAAACCCTGCACCTAGGTTTCGTGCTACATGACACTTGTCAGCAAGGTGTACCTGTAATCTTTGAGGGAACGGATGTTCCCTGATAGATTCGATCCCGTGTTACACACCTTCACAGTCAGAGACGTTACAACTGAGCTATCCGGGTCGCGACCGACCTCCTGTAGGACTGAGATGTAATCACGATTGATTCTAATTACCTTATTAAGTTAAATTATACTCTCATCAGATAGATGAAATCCCTAATTGTATTTAATCTATCTATAGAATAAGGAGAAGTTTCAGATCATAAATCAATCATTATCCGTTATATCCTTATTTCCTTATATACAAAAATTACTATTCATTTATTTCATTGTATCATTTTATCTTGTTATGCTTATTCATCAATACAATTCTATATTTATGTTTATATTTCAAATTTCAATCATTTTATTTATCAGGATTACATCGTTCAGCATTTGATCATTCGAATACAAGTTTTGATGAACATGTTGAAATTGATCATAATGTATGGCATTATATATATTTTATAATATATTTAAGAACAAAATTAACAGATGACTTAACTGGTTTAGAAATTTACATTGATAAACTTATTAAAGTAAGTAAATTATATGATGTCATATGTATTCTATTATAAATGTTTAATTTTAATTAATCTAAATAATTGAGATCATGAGTCAGTTGAAGCTAGACAACCATGAAAAACCTGGAAGCACTGAACGGCCGTTTCGTCCTGCTATGTGACTCCTCAGCAGTGCGCATCCACGACCTCGCCCCCTGCGAGATTCGAACAGAGGACCTAGTGGTTTCGCGCGCGAGCACTTAACCACTAGACCAATGAGCCAACTGGCATCCAACGGTGTTCATGTCTAACTTCAACTCATCCACGAAATTGAGCGACACATCCACCATTGTCTTTAGTGAGTTACTATCTCACAACAGACCTGGTTGAACTCCACTGCACATATGTATATGTCATATGTATTCTATTATAAATGCTTAATACTGATTAATCTAAATGATTTTTTTTGTTGCTGAGATTATCATTTACGGAGGAACTAATCAGATATAAGATAACAGGTTACGGATTTTGGCGCGAGATTCATCCATTCATTTTGGTTAAATAGAGTTTAGGGATTATAGTTGATGTCAGTTCATGATGAAAACTCTAAATCTAATTTCTAACCCTAATCACCAGCTGTAAATCACAATTCTAATTCTCATATTGGTTTATAACCCTCATTTAGTCGTAGTTATTAGGTGGACACTCTCAAGATCAGTTTAGCATCACTCAAAGGTCGTTCATATATTATAGTCTCACCGGGTTTTTTGTTGTTGAAATATTGAAGCAATATATTACATAATATCTTGATTACTGATTCTGAATTATATTTAAACTGATGAGATTTGTATTTTATTAATTGAGTTGAACTAATGGTAATTATTATCATCAGGGAAAATGTTTTTCATAACCTATGTTTTTTTTTTAAAAAAAGCTTTTACCAATACTACTTTTCACGTTACTATTTCAGTAATATTTATCATAAAACTATTTTGTGTTATACAAGGTATACATTAGTTTTGTTAAATTGAACTAAAGATATTTGTTTATTCATAAGTTGAAAGTTTTCTTAACGTTCAGTGAAGAAATGGATATTTTGTTTTTGTTGTTGTTGTTGTTGTTGTTGTTGTTGATGATGATGATGATGATGATGATGTATTGACGTGAAAGATCATAGGAGATCGTTAAAATACAATACGTACTCCAGTTTTATTATGATATATTCTATCAAATACATCATTAAGAATGAATTATTTTAAATGTATTAATGTAGCGAATTCCGGTTGAGATGGAATTTTTAATAGGAAAATGTTGACAGTTATAATTTTTGAATAATCATTGTAAGAAACACAGGATTTGGTAGGCATTGTTACACTTTTGATAGTAACTGGCCTGATACACAGATGTGTGAAGTATTCATAATGTGTTCACTTGATGTTGTTTTACTTGTATCTTCCCAATGTTATTTAGGACTGTAATTGACCAATCTCATGTTGGCATATAAGCATCCTGTGCGGATTGGCTCAATATAGCCTTAAGTCACAAGCATTATAAAGAAAGATGGATAGTGGCTAGCAGTGGAATCCAGGACGCTCGTTTCGTCCAATTTGGAATTCGTCAACTGTATGTACTTGCGTCGCAGTGTTGATATTCACTCTGAGACTCCAACCCAGTACTGGCCTTTGAAGCGAATGGTACTAGGTTTGAGTCCCAGAGTGAACATCAAATCTGAGATACAGGTACATCCAGCTGACGAGTCCCGAATAGGACGAAACGCGCGTCCTGGATTCCACTGCTAGCCACTATTTATCTATTTATGATATGGTTTTATAAATACATTTCTAGTATAATTTTCCATACATGTTAATATTAACTAGAAAATCATTTAAAAAAAGTCGATATTAAACACATACAACCTTGATACCATATTAAATCTAGGATTGTCAGCCTTTGAAAGTTTCAAGATATGCATTTAGACTAGAAGGTCGAATGGCAGTGACCAACATTCGTAGTTAACTTTCTGCAGGCACTGAAAATTTGTATTTAACCAGTAGGTCTATTCCACAAGGCAATGGAGTAATGTCAGCAGATGAAGTCCCATGGTAGCTGGTGACCAACAATTGGTTCATACTCCATTTGCTGCTTCAGGATACTGGAGCTCATGTACACCATTGGTTTGGAATCAGGGTTTTCCAACTCCCTTAAATGAATCCTCCATATCCACGAACCCGGTTAAAGTGCCAGACATTCGCTTTTCATCCTCTCAATTTCATTACCAACATCCCTGCCACGAGAAGGCATAATATTTACTGAATACGATAAGAAGATCAAATTCTACGTTGATAAAAACTTTCAACATCTACAACAAAGTATATTTTATGAACGTTAATTAATTATCAGTATTAGGATTTGTGGAGATTATATTATTTTCATAGTTGAATTCACAAGTCAATCTTAGCTAAACTAACATTAATAACCTGCAAGTATAGGATAACGATTGATTGGTTTAAAGGTTAGGCGTTCGCATACGAAACCAATACTCCTTAGTTCAATTCCTGCTTGCTGAGTTATGAATATACACTACCTAGCGATCTCATATCAGAACGAACCAATCTTCCATTACTCCCATGTTTATTAATTCATTCAAAAAACTCCTTCTTCTTCTTCTTCTTCTACATAAAATTTATTTACTTCCTATTATTTCATGATTTTTATTAAGGATAAAATTACATGATTTATAAATGAGATTAGATAAACCATAAAAATAATTCAATTCTATTATCTTAATAAATAATTAGAAATTAATAAATTCACATTGAATCAAGATATTTTTACATGAGTCAATCGAATGAATGAATGAATGAATGAAATTTCTTTTTGTTTGTTTGTTTTTTTTTTCATTTTTTTAAGAAAAAGAAAATATGAAAAAAAGAAAAATATTGAATGAATTTTATTTATTTATTTTTCTTTTTGAAAGGATTAATTTTTTTTTCTTCCATGGAGATATTTTTATTGTTTTGTTTATTCTGTCATTAAACAGGAACTATTATTTATTTATTTATTTATTTCTAATCAATTAATTATATAAATGTCTAGACAATAGGCATTCTGTCAGAAATTGAAAAAAAATAAATGTATTCCATTGTATCATGGAGACTGGATCCTTTGTTAGGAATTGTAAATTTCAATAGTTGTGATCATGAATCAATTGAAGCTAGACCACCATGGAAAACTTGAAAGCACTGAACGGCTGTTTCGTCGTATTGAAATCACTACAATTTGCACAAAACCCATTCTGATATCATTAAAATGTATCAGTTTTTTTTGAAGAGAAATAATCAAATGACTCTAAAACAAACGCATTCACATTTACTCTATTTCCTAGAATATTTTTTTCTTTTTTTAGTATACTACATAGCTAATGTGGTTCATGTTCATTCTAATAATTTTCTTGACTTGTCATTTTAAACGGTGATGCTCTTAAATAGTGGCATAATTGTTTGATATTTTAAAATGTTATCTGTATATTATATGCGATGATATTGAACATCTATTCGAAGGATTGTTCTGAGGATGGCCTTAGCATAATAAAATTACTGTATTAAATAAACAAAACGGACTAAAGTATTCACTGTTTTCTCCAGCTGATGGTGTAATGCACCCCCTCCTCATCTTTATGATGAATAGAAACCCATACATTTTTGTCACTGATAAATGGATAATCTTAACGAATTATCACAGAAATAAAACATGCTCACCGTGCTTCAATATTGTCACGTACTAGCGAAACAAATGCAGAAACTTCTAGTTCACCAACACGTTTTTCAAGTAACTGTCGATTGTTATGCAATAGAGCTGTAATCGTCTCGGATGCTCTTATACCTAAGCCAATGTGAGTTTGCATCAAATTCAGATACTGTGCTAGATACTCCTAAAAACAACGTAAAAAGGATCCATTTTATATTTAATATTTTTGTAAATGTAGTATTAAACAAAGTTTACAAAATTGAGTGAGCATGAATTAACCACATTTTTATCACATGTTACAACAGTCAGATTGTCTAGAACCCGTCTTATGGTGATGTATTTTTTTTAAGTTGAGGCTTTCATTGACATTTAGGATAATATTATCAGTGCCTACTTCAAATAAAAATGATAATTTCTGAATTAGATAACAGGCTCTTAATCAACAGTAGGATGAAACGGCCATCCAGTGCTTCCAGGTTTTCCATGGTGGTCTAGCTTCAATTGACTCATGATCTCAACAATTAAAATTATTAAAATCTCCACAAAACCCTCTTCTGATAATAATTGTAAATTTATAAAAACAAGTAGATAATTCATAGTTTTAATGTAGGTTTTTTTCCGAATATATTTAGCTGAAGAATTTCAAATAGAACGTAATGTACGTCCTGGATTCCACTGCTAGACACTATTCATTTTTGTTTATAATGTATGTGACTTAAGGCTATATCAAGGAAATTCGCACAGGATCACGATATGTCAACATGAAACTGATCAATTGAAGTTTTAAATATCAATTGGAAGATACAAACAAATTATAACAAGTGAATTTATATTTTAAGCTATATAAGAATGACAACTGAATGTGATAGTGAACGAACGCAAACTTTACTTAAAACACATTTCTAGATCCTCAGATGATATAAAAAAAGTTCGCAAACAAATCAGTGATAGCATTACACTCAATAGAGTTACACCATACAATTAATTTCAATAGTATAAGAAAACTTTAAAAAAGGTTTGAATTTTTACAAAGAATGACTAAAAGTCAAAGTCTTACATATATAGGCAAATCCAAATCGTATAAATAGGAGAGATGAAATGTAATCAGTTGTCCCTTGGCAACTAATAATTAATAAGTAAACTTGAACTCCTTATTCTATTTAATATATTACTGATTATCTGGATAATAATAATTCCATTAAACTGTTCTATTCAGTTGTATTATGTAAATATGATGGAACAATTACCTGGAACAACAAAATAACACAAACATTTATTCGTTTATTATCATTCTATTTAATTATCTTCATTTGATGTATGCTTTGATAAATTTGACCTATATCATACATAAAGATTGTATGTTTTTCTCTAAAACTTTACCGATCAGATCCACTTACGAATACATATAATCTGTTATCTTAACACACTTTTCGTTTCACACCACATGTCTCATACACACTAAAGTAAACATCTACTCTAAACACTGTTAACGTGATTAGTTAACCGAAGAACCATGTATCTGTTTATATTCAATAATTTTGATATTTGATTATATATCCTTGAAAAAGGTTGGACTAGATTACCAAGCGATACGTTGGATTTACGTCAAATCTATTCACTGAGATTTTACAAATACATCTTTGTTCCTCATTGGTGTTTAGAACTAGAATGGAAGTAAATCCAACTGGGACGAAACGCACGTCCTAGATTCCATTGATAGCCAATATCCATCTCTTTTTTTTTAATCAATATATATAATCTTTGCTGTATATATTGCTTAAACTCATCGTAAATGTAATATTAATTTCTCTAAGCTGAATAGTTTGTCGTCATTACTGATGATATTGCCTGTAATGTTCCTTGAAAGTGTCATAATTCACGCATCGTAGTCAGAAGACACGATAGTGCCAAAAATATTCACTTAAGGTTAAGAGAACGTTGTTCAATATTTCTTTGTCATTTAATGGTTGGTATAGAATGGATCACTGATAATAGCAACCGAACACGTTAAAATCCAAGGACCGAATTTAAAGTAACACTTAGTTGATGACGACTTTACTGAGACTGATTTTGTGGAGATCTGTACGTATTCAGCTATTTACACATATTGTTAACGAGTTTAGAAAAAAAACAACTTAGTGTTGAGATAAAATTCCTGAAGACAATAAGGAAATAGCGAGATGATCTTCAAAGTATTAATAATATAATGAAAAAAAAACAGAGGTGAAATATGGTTCTACTCCTTTAATTTTATTACCTAACATCCGCATTAGGACGAAACGGCCGTCCAGTGCTTTCAGGTTTTACATGGTGGTTTAGCTTCAATTGACTCATGATTTCAATTATTGAAATTACTAAAATCTCCACGAAACCCCTTCTGATAATAATCATCTGCTCATTAGTGACTAACTTCAATAGGCATTTCCTAGAGTTCTCGTGAGAAGCTGTGACCAGTGGAGTTCAACCAGGTCTGTTGTGAGATATCAGCTCACTGATGATAATGGTGTACGGTGGCGCAATTTCGTGGATTAGTCGAAATTAGACATGAACACTGTTGGACGCCGGCTCAGTAGTCTAATGGTTAAGAGTTTGCGCGCGAAGCTGATAAGTCCTGGGTTCGAAACTCGCGGGGCAGGGGTGGGATCATGGATGCTCACTGAGGAGTCCCATACTAAGACGACTTGGTCGTTCAGTACTTCCAGGTTTCCCATGGTGGTCTAGCTTCAATAGACTCATGACTTCAACTACTGGACTTACTAATTTGTCAAAGATTTCTTCTGAAACCTGGATCTAGTACAGTTTGTTTCAAACAACTGATTGATTAATAAATAATATAAATTACAGAACATGAATCTTGGTAAAGAGATCTCTTTTTTTAAAAAAAAATCTTTATTACCAAGCTTTTCAGAAAAGATCCCTTCCCTAAATTTCATAATTTTAATGTTTTATTTGGGATTATAAACCTGTTTAGTTTACTAAGGTGAATATGAGATTGGTTTTGGTTATTTCTACTGTATGTGTTTGTAATATGAGCTATGAAAATTCGCCTGTTTTTTTTTTTTGTTGTCTAAATTGGTCAAATCCACGTATTTTTGGGTAGTAGGAAGTGAAACTGTTCCGTTTTACCATAAAAGCATATATATAGGAGTTCACTAAATAAAAAAATCAATATAGGTGTCATTGCGTAACTGTGCGAAAAGTTAACTCATCAAATAGTTGGCTAGATAAATAATATTAAACAAACTACCTTTAAATATAGGTATCATTACCAAGGAGTGAATTGATAATTTCGAATAAATTGATCATTGGGTAGATTGTTGTAAATAAATCAATATATCTGTAATATCCCAACGAGTGGGAAAATTAGATTTACTGATGTTTCGTAACTTAGTGTAAGCCACTTCTTCAGGGAATAAATAACCAAATCTAAACGGAACAACGCAAGAATATTTCTATTTGGTTATTTATTCTCTGAAGAAGTGGCTTACACTAAGTCATAAAACGTTGGAAAATCTAATTTTTCTACTCACTGGGATATCTACAAGTATATTAATTTATTTATACTTTTAAATATTATCGGAAAAGGAGTTTTGTGGAGATTTTAATGATTTAATTTTTGAATTCATGAGTCGATTATAACTAGACCACCATTAGAACGAAACGACCGTCCACGTTTTCCATGATGGTCCAGCTTTAAACAACTCATGAGTCCAACTATTAGAATTCTTACTGTTGCGTTTACAGATAAAGCGTTCATTGAGGTTATTTGAATCCCTTCACCGAATGTTCAACGGTTCTATGCGCTACTCAATGATCTGTCATTTACACAAATACAATCCTGTGTCATACATTAACTTGTTTTAACTAATATGATCAAATTTGCCGTTCCCATACAAGAACAAGGTTTTTTAGACTATATAATAGTGAATAGTATGTTTATAGTTCGTGTATTGATGCTTTCAACAACAACATTGAATTAATCTCATTTCTAAGCCGTTAGGTTTTCTTACGTACCATAGTGTTAAGTCATTAAGTCACTTTCTTTTAGAAAGGATTAAATCTATTTCCTTTTTATTATACTTTGCCATAAATACAAATATATCTGTTATATATATACACAGGAAAATGAATTTAAATGGATACCACGTAGACGAGCTATGACGTTGTATAACATAGAAAATGGTTCTTCAGAAAAATCTGAAGAAATCGCCGCATTAGCTAACTCACTTAATAAAACTGTCAAAGCGATGGATACACTTAATGAAGGCTTCCAAAAATTGTCTAAACTGGTAAGATATAATTTTTTTTTAAAAAAATATTTATTGTTATTATAAAGCAGTAAGTGAGTATGGATTTACTTACTGTATTTTGAGATATAATTTTTTCATTGACTACGAAAAAGCATTTGATAGCGTGGACAGAACAACCCTATGGAAGCTTCTTCGACACTACGGCGTGCCTCAGAAGATAGTCAATATCATACAGAATTCCTATGATGGATTAAACTGCAAAATCGTGCATGGAGGACAGTTGACAAAGTCGTTCGAAGTAAAGACCGGTGTCAGGCAAGGTTGTTTACTGTCACCCTTTCTCTTTCTCCTGGTGATCGACTGGATCATGAAGACATCAACATCTGAACGGAAGCACGGGATACAGTGGATAGCTAGGATGCAATTGGATGATCTAGACTTTGCAGATGATCTGGCTCTTCTATCGCATACGCAACAACAAATGCAGGAGAAGACAACCAGTGTAGCTGCAGCCTCAGCAGCAATAGGTCTCAATATACACAAAGGGAAAAGCAAGATTCTTCGATACAACACAACATGTACCAATCCAATCACAATTGACGGAGAAGCTTCGGAAGATGTAAAAACCTTTACATATTTGGGCAGCATCATCGATGAACACGGTGGATCTGATGCAGATGTGAAGGCACGGATCGGCAAAGCAAGAGCAGCATATCTACAACTGAAGAATATCTGGAACTCAAAACAATTAGCAACCAACACCAAAGTCAGAATTTTCAATACAAATGTCAAGACAGTTCTACTGTATGGGGCGGAAACCTGGAAAACTACGAAATCCATCGTCCAGAAGATACAGGTGTTTATTAACAGTTGTCTACGCAAAATACTTCGGATCCGTTGGCCGGACACTATTAGCAACAACCTACTGTGGGAGAGAACAAATCAGATCCCAGTGGAGGAAGAAATCAGGAAGAAGCGCTGGAAGTGGATAGGACACACATTGAAGAAAACACCCAACTGCGTCGCAAGACAAGCTCTCACATGGAATCCTCAAGGTCGAAGGAGGAGAGGAAGACCAAAGAATACATTACGCCGAGAAATGGAGATAGATATGAGAAAAATGAACAAGAATTGGATGGAACTAGAAAAGAAGGCCCAGGACAGAGTGGGTTGGAGAATGCTGGTCGGCGGCCTATGCTCCATTGGGAGTAACAGGCGTAAGTAAGTAAGTAAGTAAGTAATTTTGAGATATAAAAGTTATGTGAAGATGAGTAATTACCAAAATCGAGGTAAATGATTTGAACTTAAAATATGTAACTCAATAGTTCTTAGTCAAATATGAAACCACAGATACAGTTGTGCCAATGTACAATTTCTCTCAGACGATATATGTGTTTGTAACGAGACACCGGTTAGCAACTTGCTTGATTTGTAACTGAATGTGATTCAATGTAATAACTCCATATTTAATTCAACATTTAAAAATATAGAGAAACTAATGGAAAACGTCTACTGAAATAGTGAGGTTAATTTAATTAATATAAAATCGTTGAACCGTTAAGCAAACGAATATGTAAGCTTTTTGGAATAAAGAGGATTTCCTATTCAAAAGATGACAGTAAATAGTAATGCTCACAGTATTCACCATACAAGAAACTTCTTCGTTTTGGTCAAACACTATATCTTTTTGGATTTGCCATAAACACTTCTAAGCAAAGTGTATGAAAACGATTTGTGAAGATGGGTAAAACAAACGTATTTCACTTTTGAGCATTCTAAACATGGGAATCTTTAGAAGATACAGTTCAATGTATCTACGTAACAAGTAAGAATGAAATAAATGGCCGTGCCAAGTAAACTCCAGTTCTCTTAGGTTCTTTGTAATAATAAATTTTTATTCTTTTGTTGGAGTATTTTAATTGTGACGAAAAATCCTAGTCGTTCGACTAGAGTGCATTGCATTACTGCAGTTGAATAACAGACAATCTTTAAAAAATTACTGGATAGAAGAAATAGAGAGTTCTGACTTAAGTAAACTGAGTATAATTAAGAACTGGTATTTGTTTAAATGATAAATGTATTTGATTTTGATCACGATAGTTTTATATGGTGGAATAGCTTCAGTCTAAAAAACACTCCATTTTATCTTGACAATATTCAATAACAAGTACTTATAACCGTGCTTGGGATCAAATCTAGATCCTGTAGAGCTAGTGAGAAGCGGATCATGATAACCCAGTGATTCCCATTGAAAAGTTTAGTTCATTGTAATAATAACTATTATATATATTGCGAAAATTATTACAGTATGCACACAGCCATGATCAGGTCTAATCTAAATGGGTGGAATATTTCTTAAGAAGCAGCGGTACATCATTTGAAAAGACGTGATTCATAGATTGTTGTGACTGAACATTTGTCATAGTGATGTTAATCATGTGAATTAAATGATGAACACTTAGTGTACAATCAGTGATAAAATCATTTTAGAGTACAACAATGTTATCGGTGAATGCACCGTATTAGTCATCAATCTTGTACATAAGAAGTTATCCGTAATAATCAGAATAAAAAGAAGTTGAGAATGCCAACAAGCTGATATAGCTTCGACATCATTAAGGTTTTGAAATGATAGATATCGAATAAGATATTGTACAGTCACGTTATACAATGAGAAAAATGAAAGCGAAATGAAAGAACTCAAAACAGTAACAGAAATTACCGTGACTGCTCTACCGTAATCTATATCGTTGGTTTTTTCACATGGTACAGATTTAAATATATGTTATTTATGATGATCAACTGTTATAAAAGCATCTTTACAATAGCGATATGCGTAACGTAACTGTTATAACTTGTGAACCTGTGTGCCCTGTTTATTGTATAACGTAATGATACCGTCAATCAGAGAGCAGCGAATTATCGATCGAACCAATGACGCATAAAACACGTGAGAGATGTCTAGAGTCTTTATTGGTCCTGCTTTCCGCCTAGCCCAGCCAGTTATAGTCCAGAACACCAATCTCAGCCTCTGAAATATGAATCATCTATTTCAAACACACCGGGTTTATATGCCAACCAGACAGAACACATCGTACCATAAAATATGAAACAACATTTATACAAGAATTGGCCAAATGTGGCTATGAATGTGCGAGGTAGTGATTAATAGACAGGGCATAATTCAAGAATGGTAAATCTTATAATAATAGTCCACAGGTCAAAATAAAACTCATAATAAGAGGGACATGAATATGTATAGCTTAGTTACTTAACGGTAAAAATATACGCATAGTATCGATCGATAAATGGATTCCAAAAGTTATCATTCATTATTCTGATCGGGATATAACTGTAACGGATTCATAGTATAAGCTTGAAAAAACAAACAAACAAAGCATAGTAAGAGAAGATATAGTCCTTAATGTATGCATTTTTAATCCACACCAAAAGAAATCAAATTATCGATATATCATAAACACAATTGTAACATTAAAAACATGAAGCACTAATTCTATGACGAAATGTGAACAAGAAATAATCAAGATAACGTAATAATAGAAAGATTATAATACTAGATTACATAATAAAAATAATAACAACAGGTTTAATAGGTTAGTTAATCGTTGTATTACCAAGGTCAATCTCCATAGCAATCTCCAAAAAAAAACCAAAATTATTTTAGGTTCTGGGTTCGAATCCCGAGAGACAGTATTGTGAATGCGCACTGCTGCGAAGATTCACAATAGAAAGAAAAAACTTTCCAGTACTTCTAGGTCTAGTTTCAATTGACTCATAATCTAAACTATTAAAATTATTTTAATGAATTCATTTTTTTTTGCTTTTTAAACTTTTATAGATTAGTAAACAGTTTATGGAAAAATCTAAAGAACAATTACTTTCTTCAATGAAGAATGAATGAATGAATAATCAGTGAAAATAAACAATAAACAAATAGCAAGAAAAATAATAGTTTTTTGTTGTTATTATTATCATTATTGTTGTCGTTGTTGTTTATCTCAGGTTTTATTGCATAAACCGATGCTTCTGTTGCCGATGATGATGATGATGATGGTGCTGCTGCTGCTGCTGATGATGATTCGTGTGTATTTCATTGTTATGTTTGGTTTTGTTATTGTTGTTTTTTTGTTGATCTTCATAATTCATTACAATCTTTTGATATACAAATTTATTTTCTTAGTTTCTTAGTTTGAATAAGATAAAATGATATGAACTAGGTGAGTAGATGTTGATCTAATGTTTTTCTTATATAAAGACAGTGTGTTTTTTTTTGGACAAAAAATAGATACATTTTTGTATTCTGATTAGTTGCTACATGATATAGTTGATTTAAATAATAATAGTAATTAATTGGTTAATAATGCTTGTTTTTTTGCTAATAAACATATCATTAAATACTGATTTTTTTAATTTTAATCATTGTCTAGTCTTCAATGTTACAATGACAGAAACTAAGCACAGAACAGTTATCTTAAGTTTTATAAAAATGTCTTTTAACAATTGATGTTTTATATGTTTAAAAATTTTGAAAATTAATATAGGGTTGTGGAGATGATTGGGTTTTTATTGAGATCATAGATAGATCAGCTGTATCATGATAATTATTATGCGTTCATTAGTGACTGGTTTTAAGAGGTAATTCTCGAAGTTCTGGTGAGAAGCCATGACCAGTAGAGTTTAACCATGTCAGTAAAAGATGGTCACGTAGTTGAAGTTAGACATAAACACCGTTGAATGCCGGTTTGATGGTTCAAAGATGATACGTTCACATGAGAACAGAGTTCTTGGATCCAAGTCCTGTGTGCAGGATCATGGATTCCCACTATTCAGAGTAGTCCCACACTAGAACGAAACGGCCGTTCACTGCTTTCAGATTTTCAATAGTGGTCTAAAATTCATTGATTCATAATCTCAATAAATTCTAAAAATACCTAAGAAACAACTCATATTACACATATCACTTAACTACCATGATAATTTATAATTTTAGCATATATTTTTTTAACATTAACATATCCTTCATTTTCTATAAGTAAATAAACCTTCGAACTAAAAATGTCATTTGTGCTTTTCAACTTTATTTCCATACAAAGTTTAAATGTTGAAGATTGTTGAGATCTTAAGATTAATTTGACTATTCCGTATTCAAGACCTAGCTTAAAAATATACAATTCAGTAACTTAACATGATTTAGACGAAAACGGATCAATTTAATAAGTAGTTTAAAATTGTGAAAATATCACACGTGTGGTTTCTGAGAGCTTCAATTTTTTTCAAGAATCAGGTGATGAAGTTGACTTTCATAAATTTCGGTGACACTGTCTTTAGTACATGATGTTAATTAAAATGTTGCATTAACCCCTCTTGAAATGTAATACAAGTTTTTTTGATTTTTCAGTCTGTAAAATCAGGTTTTTAGAGAATCAAATTATATACATTTTGGAATAATATAGTGAAAATTCCCATTTGGACATTTGATAAATACAGAAGGAACGAATTGAGCGAAGAAATTTCTTTTCAATTAGTTTTTCATCATGGCTCTACACTAATATATATATGATTTACAATAATGATATAATACTCATTGAGTGGATAAGTTACGTAATAATTACATAATGACATTTAAATTAACATCTAGTATTTTGGGGCGTACAATTCGGCAAGTTCGTCACCGCATTACAGAACATCATCCATCGTGGCTAAACAAAGGACAAGTAAAAGTGATTAAAAGTTCTATTCTCGCTCATTTGGTTGACACAGGTCACCAAGTTGAATTGAATAAAGCTTTTAAGGTTATCTACCATATCCCATCAAATTTACCACATAGTTTACGAGTGCGCCTTTTACACATTGCGGAAGCCATCGCAATCCATGTTCATAAACCTGACCTTTGCATTCAGAAGAAATTTGTCCAACCACTTTCGCTGCCTTGGCCATCTGTATAACATTCCATTTAAGTGAACTATTTTCCATACTTATAGCATTTGGTTTGTAGTTTTTAATTTTGGTTTTTTTTTCCTTTTCTTTTAAACTTTATAATTTCTCAACAGTCATCTCTTGATTCTTACGTAACTGCTATTCTATTGACTAACCATTACAAATTCTGTTCCTTCTCTTTTCATATATTATGCAACTTAGCAATTTCTTAACTTAATAATTACTTTGAATATTAATCATCTTCCTCCCAAAATACTAGATGTTAATTTAAATGTCATTATGTAATTATTACGTAACTTATCCACTCAATGAGTATTATATCATTATTGTAAATCATATATATATTAGTGTAGAGCCATGATGAAAAACTAATTGAAAAGAAATTTCTTCGCTCAATTCGTTGCTTCTGTATTTTGGAATAATATCAACAATATTAGAATCGCATTAAAGTTAGCTGGGTAGTCATTTATAACTGTGTAAAAAAAGGTCATTTTTTGACAGTGATTTCGCAGAAGAAATATGAAACCCGACAAATAATGTGATTATTCGAACACTTGATTTCTACCTGAACTTTATGCTGATGATACCGTTTAGACAAACGATAAAAGCTCCACGATCAAATCATCTGGATCAGAGAACAAACTTCCATTAAAATCATCCACCCGAGGAACAAATCTCCATTATTCTTTACTTACCTAATCGTAGTACACATAGTCAAGTTTTATTTCTAAACATTATTAATACAAATATCTTTACATATATATGTTGCATGAAAACGTAAAATACAATGGTGATTATGATATAGAACATCTGATTTTTAGAATAATGAAATGTTCGTTAATTAAAGTTAATCAAATAAGATTTCACTTAAATACAACTGCTTTAAATGGCATATTAGATTGAGATAAATAATTTTGTCACATTGACCATACGCTTAGTGATTACATTGCATATCTCATATTTTGCTTAATCAGTTCATCAAAAAAAACAAACAATGGAGTATCTTTTAACACAAAAAGGATGATGTTCAAATCAATCACTAAAGACAAATGAATGAATAACAGCATTGGATGCCGGCTGAGTGGTTTAGAAGTTAAGTGTTCGTACGCAAGACCTGGGTTCGAATCCCGAGGGGCGGGGTCGTGGATGCGGATTGTTGAGTAGTCCCATACTAGAACGGAACAACCATCCAGTGCTTTCAGATTTTCTATGGTGATCTTGCTTTAATTGACTCATGAACTCAACTATTAAATTACTATAATATTCACAAAACCCCTCTCTGAATAAATAAAGTTTATTTCTTTCAAGTATTAGTGAGACTATAATTTCATCACAAACTAACATCTGTTAAAATGCCAAAACTCTATTTAACCAAATGGATGAGTGAATTTCTTGCCAAAATCCGAGACCTGTTATCTTATACCAGATTAGTTCGTCTAGAAATTATAGTCTTGTTCAAGTATTTGATTAGTTAAATGAACGAGTTTTTATTACATCATTATTTTGATATTATACTATAATAATAATGAAAAATACTATGAACATCATTGAATATTACTAATATACATTTAACAGTAATCTTTAGCAATTTTCAGATCAAAAATATTATTATTGGTTCTATTCAAGATTATACTTTTGGTACAATATAGAATTCTCAGCACAAAGTATTCTTTATCTTATTTCTTGATCGATACTGCCGATAAATAGTGAGTGATCACCAGTTAGAAGTTAACAGTTCATTAAATCGACATCTGAATAATGTATGTTCCTTTCGATGCATGTTGCCAGTAACGACAAAATCTTTGATTAGGCCATTGATAACTTGTACAATGAAATGTTATATAATTTTCATAAATGTATCTGATTAGGTTATGCAACTAATAATCATAATTATGATTGATTAAAACAAACCAGTAAAAGGAAAACTTGTTGAAATATCCAGCTAGTAGGAATAAGTAGCGTAGATTTTTAATTTTTACTATTTACAATGTGATAAAATTGATGTTTTTGAAAGAAAGAAAGAAAAAAAGAAAAAAGAGAATACAACACAAATATTCACTTTCACCATATGATCAGCTAGAACAGAATTAATCTTTACCTTTGTTATAACGTGTGATCCGTCTATTAGAGAGCAGCCTATTATTGATCGAAACAGTGACGCATAAAATACGTGTGAGCAGCCTAGAGCTCTGATTGGTCCTGCTTCCCTGTCTAGCCCAGCCAACTGAGTCCAGAACACAAGTCTCAGCCTCGGAGATATGAATCGTTATATTTCAAACATACACTGTTTATATACCAAACAAACAGACTACATCGTACCATAAAATAGAAAGTAATATTTGTACAAGATTTAACCTTCAGGAAATGACACAAATAAATATTGACCAATAAGGAGATGACACGTTGGGAGAATGTTGACCAATGGGGAAATGACACTACTTCTCATTCAGGAATAGCATTAGATAATTTCTAGGGTATTTTCTGAATACCCCAACAACCTTTAAAAGCATTCATAATTCATTGTCATGTATACTTTCATTATCTATGCTAAAAAAAAATGATCTGATTTCCGTTAATGAGAAAAAAATGTACTCATCCAAGTACTCATCTTTTTAATGAACAATCAAAACATTTAAATTAAGCCAGAATAAATATTGATGTAGAATAATATGAATTCATTACATGTTGTGCTTTCTCATCAGCTGCTTACAACCAAATATGTATTACAATTTAACATGGAGATAAGAAATAGTATAGAACAATTGACATGATTGAATGTAAAGGATTGGAATGAACAAAGGTTATCAATGATAACTATATATACAGATATGCAAGAACAGGTCTGAGGTTATTACGTGTTAGAATCAAGAAAACGCAGCAGTCGTACTTCATTATCTGCTAATAATTTTAAAAGCATGAGAGATGTCAATGGTATACCTGATGTCAAGTAAATACCGAGCTATTGCATTGTTGGAAGCTTTAGACCCTCGCAACCACCCTTTCACTCACATATTTCCGCTCACTTGATCCTGTTATATTATGTGAACTCTTCTAATTCTATACAATTATTACGTAACCTATCTTATCAGTTTTTAAATCCATAAATCCTTCATTACCTCTAAAATTATCACACAATTGATCTTATCTGTCTCTGAAATCCACTCAACTATTACACCACCCATTCTTAATGTTTTTCCTTGATTCTAACACTAAATAACCTCTAAACTTTGTTCATTCCAATTCTTTACATTCAATCATGTCAATTGTTCCATATTATTTCTTATCTCAATTGTTAAATTCTAATACATAATTGATTGTAAGCAACTGATGAGAAACCACAACATGTAATGAATCCATATTATTCTACATCAATATTTATTCTGGCTTTATTTAAATTCATATAGGGAAGTAATTACATGAAACAGAACATTCATAGAAATGACATTTCTAAACAATTGCTCTTAATAACATAGTAGTTTTATAGGATTTTGAAAAAAAAAACCAAAACAGATAAATAAACACAACAAAAAATATTCTTCTATTGTTCCGTTTGTACTAATTAAACTTGAATGTATTTTTATTTAGTTATTTATTTATTCTCTGAAGAAGTGTCTTAAACCAAGTCACGAAACATTAGAAAATCTAATTTTTCTACTCATTTAAATATCTACAAATAATAGTGATTTATTGATAATAATCTATTCAATGTTTAATTTATTAGAAATTATCAAATCAAACCTTAGTAAAGATACCTATAAAATACATTGAGTTGATTACATTGAAGTACAGTTGAATTTGTATATATGTGAATTGTTTTTATGTATAAATTATTGAATAAT